GACACTAAATAAGATGCAATGGAGAAAAATGATTCATTTAGCCGACCTACATAGTGGGATTAAGATTTTGTTGTCGTTGTTGTTGTTGCAAATTTAATCTCACTAAGTAATTCGTGTAGCATAATCTATTAAATTTAATGTATAATGTATGAATTAATTAGTAACTTTCTTATAAAATAAAAGTAAAAAATGTATTATATAAATATAAGTTGATTTTTTTAAAGATTTACATATTTTAATGCTTATAAGCTATTTTGAAAATTATGTTATAAAATTGATGTTCATAAATATATAGTATATAGCTTTCAATGTAATGAAAAAAATATACAATCTTAATTAGTGTTAATACAAATAAAATAAATTTCACATGAGATTTTAACTTGCTTAAGTTAGTAATGAATAAGGATTTAAAGTAACAAAATTTCCTTAATTATATAATTGAAAAGAATTATGATTCTTATATAAATAAAATTTAAGTTTTGATATGAAACATTTAGTCTGATAAATAAAATTTATATTTTAGAAGATTATACTATTTATGAATAAAAATGACAATAATAAAAGTAAAAAAAATGAGTTAAGGGTAGATTTTCAAAGACATGATTTCATAAATTATATAAAAAAAAGAATGACTATTCATAAAAATCTTCCTAAAAGATATTGTAAGATAATTTTAAGAGAATTTTAAATGACTTTTATTATTTATTTTGTAAATAATTTGTGTATGATTTGTAGGAGTTCATAATTGAGAAAACGAGAATAATTTTGACGACAAGTATTTATATAAATTGAGTTAGAGTAAGAAAAAAAGAGTTACAGTATTGTTTCTTAATTCTTAACATAACTTTGAATCTAATTCTTCATGTTTATGTTTTATACCAATAAGATCTATTCAATAATTAATTTTTCATATTGTTAATCATGACACATGCATGGCCTAAACTTTTGCTTAAATAACTACACAATGCTTTTCAAGGAAGACATTAGTTTATTATAACATGACTTTTAGATTCTGTTAGAAGGGCACTTATTCATTAGTTGACGTTATTATAACATGACAAGATTCTGTTAGAAGGGCACTTATTCATTAGTTGACAATCATAAAATGTTTCAACAGAAAATAATGCATACTATTAAGAATATAATAGAATTGCATTTTGTAAGAATACTTGTATGTGTAAGATAGACAAAATTTGCCCTCTTATAATATTGGCTATGGACACCACTGTACTTGCATGTGTAAATGTTTGACAATCGTGAAATTGAGATCATGAACTGCTATGCCGATGGGAATGTATTAGCCAAGAGTTTTTTTTTCACCTAAAAATAATAGACTTGTTCTACGCCCCATAGTGTTGATAGGGTACATATCGGTTAGGAATATTTTAAGTTATGTTTAGACAATGCTCCTGAGATGATTTTCCAATACGAAGTACAATGAAAGTTAAAAGATTAGAAAGTTAAAAGATTAAGACTCGGAAAAAAAAAATTAATGCATATAGAAATTTTAGATTTCTTCCATAAGCAGAACTTAAGAGTAAGAAGTACAATAAAAGTAACAGAAGTAGAAAGATTAAATCTCTTATGCCACCTAACTTGTTGTCCACCTGCTACTCCAGTTTCTCATCTGCCACAATCATTTCCCCCTGTTTCTCATTCTGCAACCCTCTTAACCCATCTCCTCACCTTCAAACACTATCAAGTGACCCTAGATCGGTGCCACAACGTTTGCAAGTAGGACTCTTTTAAATACACAAAAGCGAAAACTTTCCCTTTTAAAGTTCAATAATTAAGAAGGAATCCTTAATTCATGATAATTCACAAGTCCTTATTAGTAGTGAGCTCAATAAGTACTTCAGCCCTTACAATGACTTCATTCAAGCTGATTCTCTCTTTACACTTCTCTTCATTATTATTGAGGAAGACATTCATAGAATGCTCAAAGCCACAACCAAAGATGGTTAGTTCAAGATTAACAAAATTAGAAACGTGAAATTGTCATTAATTGTACTCAATGAGCAAATAATTCCCTTTTCTTTTTCTTTATTGCTCACTCACAAGTAATGGCTCTCAAAAACATTCAATCCCTCTTACAATAAGCTGTTCATCTAAAAATCAACTTATCTTATATTCTATAAATCTTAGGGGACACTTAAGCCCATTACCAACACTATCATTAATGACAAGTATTTGAGCAACACTTCTCCACTGAGGTTATGGAAAGGCAATGGCACCCATGGTTCCCAATTAATTAAAACTTTACACCTTCCATCTATTAAATTTCTTGGAATATTCAAAATGGCAAAGGAGCATATTTTTGTAAGACCTTTGCCTTGACAATCTGTCCCTAGCCAAAACTTTATCCTTGTCTCTTCAAGTAGGCGTGGAATCAAAATTACCAAACAAAATCACAATACATCTCTTTATCGGTTGGCATTTGCATTGGAATTGGATCACTACTTTTTGCTAAGGATATTTCCAACCTCTATTACAAGTTGGACCAAGCTAATTTGAATTCAAATTTTGACGCTCCTAAAAAAAAGAATACTTTTATAAAGCTTTATTTAGTTAGCTCTTTCAACTCTTTTGATATGCATGAAGGCATTGTAAACATAGAAGGTTTGATTCCATTTAAAATTGCTTTTTTTGGATGGATTAAACAAACATACTGATAAATAAAAAATATTTCCGAGCAATTTGCTCATTGTAACATTTGGAGGGAAAGGGTATCATATTATTTTTCTAGTACTACTGAGAATGAAAATTTGATCTAGTTTAAAATAAAATATGTAACTTAATTTTTTAATAAATTCAACTCATGAAATGAGACGCTCGTCAAATTATATAATTTAGTGAACGTAAATCAAAATATTTGTTATTGCCCTTCTGTTTCTTTTTATAATTATATCATTCTCTAATTCTCATGCTTTTATTCAATAAGAAGGTCTCCCAAGTTTGTCAATCTAAAGAAAAAAGAAAAACTACAGTTTATCTCTACGAATCCAGTCAATGTTCATTGTAAATTGGTTATACATTTAATGATCAAAGTATCCCCTATAAGATCAAGCACGATATCTGAAACCTGAAACCTTCAAATGAATAAGACAACTTCTTTGGCATCTACTAACTCCAATGTCGCTGATTCCTTATTCAAGTGAGAATAGAAGAAAGCAGTCTGAAGTGCATAGCTAAGACAAATGAAATTCCCCATATTCTAGTAGAAAAGAAGAGGAAAACAAGGGAAAGCAGAACGCTCGAACAAATTTATAAATTCATCCCAGAACATCTGCATTAACTGCACTGTGAGGGCAATTGGCAACTGACCACATATTAGGGCAAAGCAGCTTGAAAAAAAAAATATTTACTGAAAGAAAATATATAATACAAATTGTTGGATTTGCTAACCTGTCCAATGAGAGGAAAGTAAAGCTGAGCAATGTACAACCTATCTTCACACTTCTGATAGCGCAAATCAAACTCGTGCTTGCACATGAGGAATACCAAAATACGAGCAGCCTAAACACATCAAAAAGTAAGTTATATACCTTTATAATGAAAAAAAGAGAGGAAAATCCTCAAAATAATAGCATAAGCTGACTGCTAGCAAAGTAAATACAAATTGAGCTTTTTAAAATACGAAAACTGGAGCATTTCAAAAAGAAAATTGCAATTTATTCAGTATAAAACTCACTTTTGCTCTTTCTAATAAGTCTTCATGATCCAATGTGAGGAAAGCCTCTTGAATTAAAAGCGATGCAAGGTAATTTCTGCACAGAAAAAACAAAATATGAGAATCCTCCAAATTAAAATTTATAATTTTACATACAGAAAAAACAAAATATGAAAATCCTCCAAATTAAAATTTATAATTTTACATTATTACTGAGGCACAGCAATTGGTAGTGAATTACAGAGAATTGGACCGCATTGAGATTAAAAAAGGAAATCTACATACGCAGCACACATTTCTTATGTATTTACATATCACACTCCTAAACTTTATATTTACATACATTGTGATGCGGGAGCTTCCGAAAAAAAATAAAAAAAATCTGCAGCACTATAACAGCTAAAGTACAGCGAGATTACAATCGCAAAGGGCGACCGAAACAGTTCCAATTTCCTTTCTTATGTTTTCTTTCCAATTATCATAACAGCTAAAGTACCGCGAGATTACAATTGCAAAGGGCGACCGAAACAGATCCAATTTCCTTTCTTATGTTTTCTTTCCAATTAT